GTACATTCTTGCAATGCAAACACCCTAGGCGTGAACAGTTATTTTTTTAATGTCGGGAATTTCCCCTGCTTATTAAAAAGTTACGTTCATTACAGTAGCGAACATCAGATGAACATGATAAACATCAGATGGACACGACCTAGCTCAACATATATATAACAAATGACAAAGTGCTCATTCTGAAATCTGAAGATTTATGCTTTGTATAACAAGTTACACACATACCTTCATTCGCCTTGTAGTTATTCATTGTTTATGTAATTTTGTTATAGTGTTTTTATTCGTACAATAGGCTTACTGCAAATGTTTCAACAATGATTTCATTAAAGGGGTCATATGATGCAATTAAAATTTTTCCTTTCTCTTTGGCGTTACAGGCTCTTGGTGCATAAAGAAGATCTGTAAAGTTGCAAAGACTAAAGTCTCAAATCCAAAGAGATATTCTTTATAAAAGTTAAGAGTCAACCACGCCTACCTAAAATGTCTCATTCTAACACGCCCCCACATGTCTACGTAACGATGTGGGAAGATTTGCATAACGCCGCCCAAATGTTCACGCAAAGAAAGGAGGAGTAACTTATATTCTCGCTGTAGTATTATTGCCGCCGCCACCATGTTGTGGAGACGCTGTGTGTTTTGTTGTGAAAGCGAAACTACTTTGTTTGGCCTTCCAAAAGAGGACGATATCCGCTTCGTCATGCCTAGAGCTGATCCGTGCTGGTCGCTGAGGAAATACATCAACTTCGCGCTGTAGCTCGCCAGATCGGCTTTCACCGTGGACAAAGCGGAGTCCAGCCCGTGGTCGTCACATGTGGTTGCCGCAAGCCCGCCGGCCGCTCACTCAAGCCCGCCGTTTGTGACGCTTTTGAAAGCGAAACTACTTTGTTTGGCCTTCCAAAAGAGGACATAACTAGAAATCAATGGTTAAGTTGTATTTACAACCAGTGCACTGGAAATTTCCGCTGAGGATTTAAATGCTGACACTGGAATGCAAACACTTACAGCGAAATTGGACTCTGTGTTTTTAAAAGAAGAAAAAGATCGACAGTATGAGGCGTACACGGAGTTTGACCGGATCACAAGAGAAAGCGGCATTTCTATGGTGGAATATATCGTCGAGTTCGAACATCGGTACAACAGGCTACGTAAGTTCAAAATGGAGCTCCCAGATGCTGTACTAGCCTTCAAGCTACTGGATACTGCCGGACTTACCATTAAAGATAAACAGTTAGCGCTTACAGCTTGCCCCAGCGTCTCTTTCACTGATATGAAATCAGCCTTGAAAATAATTTTTGGAGATAATGTTACTTCACCACGAGAGGGCGGTAGTGCAATGCAGAGCGCAGATGGTGACACTGCTTACTACACGAGATACTCAGGGAAATGGGAAAGTAAGTCAAATACCACACAACAACCCCAAATCGTGGCTCAAGGCACAAACCCCCTTGATAAATATGGGAGAAGAACGAAATGTGCAATTTGCCAAAGCACTTATCACTGGGCAAAGGACCGTCCAAACAAAAAGGAACATGTAAGACTGACAAAAGATGAAGGACTAAAAGATGACGTTGAAGAATGTAACATCACTTTGTTTTCAAATGAATCTTTTTCTAACACAGAAATCTTCATTGTGGAGGCTTTAGGATCAGCTGTGATTGACACAGCCTGTACAAGAACTGTGTGTGGAGAAAAATGGCTTGAGGATTACACAAGTGGGCTGCCACAGAGTGAGTTACTGAAAATAGATGACAAACAAAGTGCAAGACCTTTTAGATTTGGTGATGGCAAAGTTGTTCACTCCACAAGCAAAGTTACCATTCCAGCTAAGATAGGACATATCAGATGCAAAATAGAGACAGAAGCTCTTCCTGCAGATATAACAATGCTCTTAAGCAAGGCTTCATTAAAAAGAGCAAGTGCAGTTCTGGACATTGCAAATGACAAAGCAACCATGTTTAAACAACCAGTTAACCTCGAACTGACATCTTCAGGACATTATTGTGTGAACTTGAGAGATGACAGTCATCTAGGTGAAAAAGAGAGAAGAAACACAAAAAGAAAATGAAATACTTGCTGTGACAGAAAACATGACAACAAAAGAAAAGGAGAGAGTCCTGTTGAAACTACACAGACAATTTGGACATGCTTCAGCTGATAGACTGCAAAAATTACTGGCCTGCTCAGGTAATCATGATGATGAAAGCAACACAATCCTCAAGATCATTGTTAAAAACTGTGATACATGTAGCAGATACAGCAAGCCAAAACATAAGCCTGTAGTGGGTTTGCCTAAGGCATCAGCCTACAATGAGACTGTAGCTGTGGACTTACATGAGCTTGCGTCGGGAGTATGGTATTTGCATGCTATTGACCACTTCACTCGCTTCAGTACAGGGAGTATTGTCACCACAAAGAACCCAAAAGAGATAGTGAAGCACTTTATTCACTGCTGGATAAGTGTTCATGGTCCTCCATGCAGACTGTTTAGTGATAATGGAGGTGAATTTAACAATGACGAAATGAAGGACATGGCTGAAAAGTTTAACATTGAAGTAAAAACAACTGCAGCATACAGCCCATGGAGCAATGGCCTTTTAGAAAGGCACAATCAGACCCTCACTGAAATTTTGCTGAAAGTGAAGAGGGACAACAACTGTGACTGGAAGACAGCCCTAGATTGGGCACTAATGACAAAGAACTCTCTGCACAATGTCCATGGTTATAGTCCCTACCAGTAAGTGTTTGGGCAGAACCCAAATCTACCCTCTGTCCTCACTGATAAGCCCCCAGCTCTAGAAACAAGTAAAAGTACTTGGATAGCTAAGCAAATCACAACACTACATGCAATGAGAAAAGCATTCACAGAAGCCGAATGCTCAGAGAAAATCAGAAGAGCCCTTCGCAAACAACTGCGGCCCATTCATGACAAATGTGAAACGGGGGACAAAGTGTATTATAAGCGAGTAGATTGTAATGAGTGGAAAGGTCCAGGTGTGGTCATAGGCCAAGATAGTGTGGTGGTATTTGTCAGGCATGGCGGAACCTATGTTTGGGTGCATCAGTCTAGACCAGGGTTCCTCAAATCTTACCCTGGAGGTCCAATGCGCTGCAGAGTTTAGCTCCAACCCTGATCAAACCCTTTTTGAATGATCCTGAAGACATTGATTAGCATGCTCAGGTGTGTTTGATTAGGGTTAGAGCTCAACTGCAGGAAAGTGGATCTCGTGGGCCAGATTTGAGGATCCCTGGTCTAGACTAAGATAGGTGGATGACCCACAAACAAAACTGGAGAAGACAGAAAGGGAACAAATGAAAACATATGAAAATCCCACAGTAACACCAGCAGCAGATCTCAGTGACACCGAAAGTGAAAATGAGGAAGTGGCACCAGCAAACGATGAACCTCTTAATGCTGAAGATGACAGTGAACCTCCTGCATCAGTGCTGCCAGGAGGGGATAATCTTGATCAATCCCAGATGACACAAACCCACTCATCCATGAGCTGTGAAGGCCTAAGACTAAAAATGGGCCAAATGGTGAAATACACAGACAATCAAAGTGGACAAACCCACACTGGAAAAATCCTCAGCCGAGCAGGAAAGGCTACTGGAAAGCACAAGAACTGGTATAATTTGCAGTACAGTGAGCCTGAGAAAATTGCTGGCACAACTGGATCAATCGATCTAGGACAAATGGACAGTGTTCAGGCGATTCCATCCGAACATGCTAAGTTGAGCACTGACTACAATGAGGATGATATACTGATAGTACATGATGATCTCTTCATGCCTGCAAAAAATACAGAACTCATAACCTGGAAGAGAAATAACGTCTTTGAAGAAGTGAAAGATGAAGGGCAGAAGTGCATCTCCACGAGATGGGTGTGCACACTAAAAGAAACAACTGCTGGAGTTGTACCTAAGGCTAGACTTGTTGCGAGAGGCTTTGAAGAAACAAACACTCAAGACCTTCCCAAAGACTCACCTACATGTAGTTCAGAGTCTCTAAAAATGATCATGGCAGTCATATGTCAGAATAAATGGCTAAACTCCATGGACATTAAAGCAGCCTTTTTACAAGGTAAAGAGTTAACCAGAGACATTTACATTCGCCCACCACAAGAAGTGCAGAGCAAAGAAACTATATGGAAGTAAAAAAAATGTGTTTATGGCCTAACAGATGCTTCTTTATTCTGGTATAATAGGGTGAAAGACACCATGCAACAACTGGGAGCTACAGTGTCAAAGGTAGATCCAGCAGTATTTTACTGGCTGGATGATTCCTGCAAAGTGATGGGGATTCTTGCATCTCATGTGGATGACTTTATTTGGGGTGGTACAGATGCATTCCACAACTATCATTCCTCAATTGAAAGATGCCTTTCAAGTTGGACGGGAAGAGCATGACAGTTTCAGCTATATTGGAATAGAAGTACATTCTCTGGAGGATGAAATACACGTACAACAAGGAACGTACATAAAAAAATCTGCAACCCATTCCAGTGGACTCCACCAGAGCAACACAGCGTGAAGCTTCACTGACAGACGTTGAGATGGGCATGTTAAAATCAAAGATTGGACAAATATTGTGGGTTGCCAAGCAAAGCAGACCTGACATAATGTGTGACACATCCATCTTGGCATCTAACACAAAACATGCTACTGTTCAGACCCTGCATTGTGCAAATAAACTAATCAGAAAATTAAAATCAGAAGAGGCCACCTTGAGGTTCCAGTACCTAGGGAAAGACAGTTCTGTTAAACTAGTTGTGTACAGTGATTCCTCAATGGGAAACCTTCCAGATGGTGGCACACAGGGTTGACATTTCATCATGCTTATGGGAGAAAATGGAAAATTCTCACCTATATCCTGGCAGTCAAAACGCATCAGGAGAGTTGTACGGAGTACCTTAGCAGGAGAGACTTTGGCACTTGCAGATGGGATTGACAGTGCAGTTTTCCTCACTACACTCTACTCTGAGATTATCACTGGTGGCTGCTCATGCAACAACTTGCCCATTGTGTGTATAACAGACAATCATTCCCTTCTCGATGCTCTCAAATCTACAAAATATGTCACCGAAAAGAGACTGCGCCTAGAAATCAGCAGTATGAAGGAGCTTATACACTCTGGAACTGTTCAGCAGATCTTGTGGTCAGCCACCAAAGAGCAGCTAGCTAAGTGCTTGACAAAAAAGGGGGCATCTGCACTTGGCCTTCTGAAAGCTCTCAGCACAGGCGTTTGCCATCTTAAAGACTGAAATGATGTTTTACTTATGCTTTGTCAATGTTTAGTCATTCAAACTAAATCTCTAATGTTAACTAGTTATACATAAAAAAAGAAAAGAAAAAGAGGGGAGATTGTTAAGTTATGTTTTATTTTCTGCGCATGTGCGAAGAGCACCATTTTGGGAGTTAGCAAGGTATTTTTGGAATTCAGTTCAGTCCTGTATACGGAGCTGCTGTGGTTGAACGTGTTTGAGCAGTAAAGAATGTAATTGCTAAGAACAGTTGTGTTTATTGAGTCAACACAGACAAGACATCCTGTTAATGGTTTTGGGAAATAGACAACTTTGCTGACTTAAAAAAAATAAATAAATCAGGCGTCTGGGGCTGGATCTTTTGTATCTAGTGTGGAGGCATGACCTAACATAATAACATTAAATATTTAATATTCGACAACTGTGTTACAACAGAAATGTTAAACAACCAACAGTAATATCCAGGGATATGAACAACTCAACCGTTTTCAGCATACTAGGCAAAAGATTAAGAATTATTGTATTGTGAAATTTTATGCTATCTTTGCTGAAGTTTCCTGATAGACTTTCAGTAATTTCACTCTATATACTCAGACCTACACTAGAACATGATAAAACATGTAGCTTTGACAGTTGTTTATAGGTTGTGATTAGTACAGTAATTTAGATAACTAAAATAAAAATATTTTCTGCAAATGGATCAAATGTTTTAATATATTGTATTTCTTAAACTTTTTCCTTTATTAGTCTAATACCTGTTTCCTTTATTTTACTCTTTTTGACAAGAAACCCCCAAGTGCAGCTTTTGTGCATGACATACGTCAATGGCTGGTCTCTGCACAAAATTTGAAGGGATGACCTAAAAATGCTGTTTTCATTCTATTATCATTTACCTTTTAACATTTGTTTTCATTCCAGCCCCAAATGCTATATTTCATTCATGACCATGTGTTTACTGTTTGTTACTGACACAGACAAAAATGAAATGCACCTGTGTGCCCATGAACCACCCTAGCAAACTGAGGACCCTGTGTTTCCAAAACCCTGTGTACGGCCATGCTAATAGTGTGGTGTTTGTACCTCAGGACCCTCTCAAACTCTGCTCTCTCTCGTCCAGCTTCAATGGACAGCAAGTGCTCCTTGTGAGTGACTTGCTCCAAACGAGCAGCCTTCAGCTTCTCTTCTACTTCCAGCTTTCTTAGAGTCTGCTCTTTTTCTTTTCTTCTCCATTCCCTTGCAGCCGCTTCTTGGTTCCTCCGTGCTCTGATCTCATCCTGACAGTTCAAAGAAAAACTCATTTATTTGAATCCAGAATGTAAATTTCACTGCCTCCAATATGATCAGCCAACAAATAAGCTTTATGCTTTATTAAATTGGTCATGTTAATGTATTATGCCATCATGGGTATACAAGAGGATACTTCTAATTATATGCATTAGTACATTTTTTATGAGGATGTAAGATTTTACCTGCTCAGCTTTATGGTCTCTGTCCCTTTCTTGAAGAACTCTCAGTCGCGCCACTTCCTTCTCTTTGTCTTTCTTGATTTGTATCTGCTCAGCTTCATACTCTGCCTCTCGTTCCTAGAGTTCAAACACATGCTTTTTCTTTCTTACTTAAACATATTGGTGGTTATTTGTTTTGTGTTGGTATACTCATACATTGTGTCAATATCACAAAAAAACAAATAATAGCCTAAATAAAATAAAAAAAAGCTAACTGAAAATGAGTAAACAGTCAGCGATTAAATAAAAATAAGAAATTACAAACAATAGGACAAAAAAAATACAGTAGAACAAATAAGAAATGTTACATTGTTTAAAGTAATCAAATGTATAAAAACGGCATATTCTTCACTGCGTAAATTAAATATATTACTTCCTATTCCAGTTAAAAAGTGATTTAGCTGTCACTTTAAGATCTGCTTGGATCCAATATTACACGTGTTTTCTTTCTCAGCTGTTTGCTTTTACTTAAGACCTATATTACCGTATTTACAAGGATACTTGCAAAAACAGGCATTTTGACACATGCAAGTGTGTGTATTTAACCGTTCAAGGCCTATAAAGCGTTCAATACTCCCGTGCTCTATGAGCGCTCGTAAACAGCAGACAGCATGCGCATATATTGAAATGAGGTCTGTTTCACTGCTGATTGCTTTTCAATGGCTTAAAATAACTTGTGTAAACTGCACTGCTTAAAAATGCATGTAAATGATAAGATTTCATGAGCATGTAACCGCGATAGAGACAATAGTCCAGTATATTGCCCACCCCTAATTCTGCTGTTGGAGAGTGTTCTTATATAAACTACAGCAGTGCTAGTGCATTAAATCTTTAACCAGATGAACCATCCAAAAAAAATATAATAATAATAATAATTTTCCACACATCATTATATCCATGCATGTTTTTAGACAAACCATCTAACAGTGAAATTTAGCTGTAATTTTTAAAATTGTGCTGTACATTTTTACATTTTAGTTGTAATATATGTCTAATTGTTTTTTAAAGGTTCCGCAGAGTGTGACGCCATATTACAATTGTTGCAGTGTCCATAGAAATTTTGTATTCTCAAAGTCTAGTGATGCTGCTGTGGAGCTTGTGTTGGTAAAAAAAATTTTTTTTTTAAATGCACATCGAGGGTTCATAGCAGCCTCATACAGGGCATTTGAATGTGGGGTCGGCTCACATCGGCAGCATCACACCAAGCCGACGCTCGACACCCGACGGCCAAGTAGCACGTCCGTTCTGCGTTTTTTCTTGTGCACTGGTTCGCCAGCTAAACAGCCAATCAGAATGATTAGATGGCCTGACTGATCGACAAGCTCCGACGCCGATTCAACATGTCGAATCGGCCGAAAAAAAGCCAACGAGGATCAACTTCAGCCGACGGTGCAGAACACACTGAGAAAACTTAGTCGGCCGACGAACAAAAACTGCCCGATGGCCGACCGTCAGATTGGTGTGTTCCGGGCCCTGGGGTGTGTTCCCCTAGAGTTTACAACACGGAGAAACGAAACCTGGCCCGAAAAGAGGAAGTAATCTCATGAAAGAGAAATTGATCTTACTTCAAATAGACCCGTTAACCTTGTAATTGCAAACAATTAGGCTACATTAATTTATGTAATTTATATGTATATTAAAAGCCTATTTAGTTCCCCTCACTCTACAACAAATATACTTCACTCATGTTCTAATATCCATGTAAAGTCCTTCACATGCTCAAAAATGTTTGTTTGGGCGCTGCACACTGATTTTACAGTGGACCTTTTAAAATAAACAATGTAACTTTTATGTTTGGTTGACTACAGTTTAGTTTGATGATGAATGGCTGAAATTTCAGGCAACGGTAGAACTAAATCAAATAAAGATATAAAGAAAATAAATAAAATGTGAGTGTCACAAAAATTAGCGTAGCCTATACTTGTTGCACAGTGTTTTTTCCCCCCTTTTGTTAATCTGTTAATTATAGCCCATTATAGCTATTATATATTTTGTGTAATCCTATTTATTTTATTCCTTTTATAGACTTAATTTCTGTTTTTCTCCTTTCACATTAGCGCTGCAGGTGCATGATGCGACGATTGAATCCTCATGGTCTTGTTTATGCTGCTATTCGCGCATATAAAGCTAAAGCCCTGTCTAAAACCAAAAAAAAAAAAAAGACATTCTAATCTTACTGGTTACCGATCGACTAATGAGCTTAGTTTGACGGTTAGGAAAATAAAAATGAACAAAATGCTGTCATTCTACAATTCTCCACCATATTTATGCTGCGCGCAAGTTCAGGTAACTCAAAAACTTGCGTACACAAGCTGAGACCAGACGTGAGATTTGTTTGTAGCCACCGCTCACGTCCATATTGATAAATTCCAAGTTTTGCGTTGAAACGACCATACGCCCAATTTTCGGTTATACGTTCGAAACAAATGAGGCCCAGTAAGTTTTACTCCAGCATTATCTACAATTTTCAGGAAAAAGAAAATCCTCTCCAGGTCAAAATGGTCAGAACACAACATGAGTGTTAAAGCCACAGATAAACACAACTATTATTTGAAAAAGAAACAAAAAAACATAATTTGATGTCCGCATGCCCATCATGAACTCACAGAAAACTAAATGTGTACCACACATCCAACCATTATCCAAACATCATGTCCTGTTATAGGGTTCCATGGATTCTGGAGCCTGGTGTTTAAAAATATTATTGTCTTTGTAAGGGTTTGCTGCCACCACCCTTCAGTTTTTTAAGCCAGTATGGTCTGGCAGAAGGCCATACCACCATCACAACCTTATACCAAAATTAGTATATTTAATTTTGTATCCCTGTGTGCAACAAAACAATATGATGTGTTTGCTGTCAAAGGCTCTTTTTTTTTCATCTGCCCACAGAGTCTACTCCTGTTTATGTACCAGTAGTGTCTGGCAACTGAATATGAGTTCATGAGTCAAAGTCCAAACCTCATCCTGACTGAAATGCTGTGGATAAACACAGGTACGTCTAAAAAAATTTGAATATCATGAAAAAGGTCAATATTTTTTGTCACTCATTTCAGAAAGTGAAAGCCATATATTATATAGATTCATTACACAGAGTGAAATATTTCAAGCCTTTATTTCTTGAAATTTTGATGATTATGGCTGACAGATAATGAAAACCCAAAATGCAGTGTCTCAGAAAATTAGAATATAAAAAAAAGGATATTTTAAACAGAAATGTCAGACTTCTGAAAAGTATGTTCATTTCTATGCACTCAATACTTGGTTGGGCCTCCTTTTGCATGAATGCAATTACTGCATCAATGCGACGTGGCATGGAGGCAATCAGCCTGTGGCACTGCTCAGGTGTAATGGAAGCCCAGACTGCTTTGATAGCGGCCTTCAGGTCATCTGCATTGTTGGGTCTGGTGTCTCTCATCTTCCTCTTGACAATTCAGGTCAGCCGAGTTTGCTGGCCAATCAAGCACAGTAACACCATAGTCATTGAACCAGCTTTTGGTACTTTGGCAGTGTGGGAAGGTGCCAAGTCCTGCTGGAAAATGAAATCAGCATCTCCATAAAGCTTGTCAGCAGAAGGAAGCATGAAGTGCTCTAAAATTTCCTGGTAGATGGCTGCGTTGACTGCGGCTGCATCCTTCTCGCCTTGGCCCCAGCATGGGGAGGGGCTAGACGGCCCTCGTCCAGACCGCGGGTCCGGTAGCTCGCGTCGTCGGCGGCACGGAGATCCCTCTATGCACCCCTCCTGGACCCACAAGGACACCAGCGTGCATGCACGGGGAAGAGACCGGTCTCCCGAGGAGAGGCGCGCTCGGCATTTAAACAGCGGCGGTGATGAGGCTCCATTTGGTTCAGGTGTGCCCCATCACACGCCGCCAGCCTCGGCTGTTTCAGCGCCCCTCCTCTCTCACACCCCCACTCCATGATGATAATTAGGGGGAGGCGGCCGACTCGTCACAATATATATATATATATATATATTAGGCTACTATATAGTATCATAATAGCATTATATAGTGGTTCAACGCATTATATTGTGTTTTTTTGAGTCACAGATCGGACTATTTTTTCGGAGAAGCAAGAAAAAAATAATTAAAGCACAGAGAATGACAATGCCGTGAAGGGTTTCTGCAGGATTTTTAAGATCAAATTTAACACTTTTAAAGACCTTTTTTACGACCTGCACAAATAAAATTAATACCATATGAGCGGGGTAAGGCAATGTCTATAGTACCATTTTAAACTGTAAAATTACTGTAAAAAGCATAATTTACAGTTCAGATAAGTTTTCACAAAAACAAAGTTTTATAAAATGATAAAACTTTACATTTCAGCTTTTAAACCATTGTTAAGAAAATGGATGAGTCAAAAGTAATAATTATTATATTAATTTAAACAATTATCATCAATAAATTATTATATCAATTAAATATCAAATTAGGGGTGTTCGATATTGACAAAAAATTATATCTCGATTCTGGGATTTTATCGATAACGATAATTAGACAATATTTTGCTGAGTGTGTTATTGTGCTAATATCTTAAGGACTACCGTGGATAATTGACTCATGAATTTTTTGATATTATTCATATTCTGTGTAGTCAGTTCACAGCAGTAATAGAAATTACTCAATTTCAAGTGTGCACCATCTTTTGAGTCAAATTCTTGCATTTGGGTTGTTACCAAGCAAATTAAATCAGTATCAACAAAATGTATCTTTGCAATGCAGAGGAAACACAGAAGCTGCATTAGAAGTGTCATTTAGATGCATTTACACACTGTTTAATGCAACTCTGAGGGACATTAAATACTTTAACCTGCAATTACAAATGCATAAATAACGTTATATTTTAAACTATTATGATATTTTGATACATAAAACATTGAAAACTGATGTTTGAATCAGAAAAGAAAAGGTATCTTAAATGTGAAATTAAAACCTCCAGTAGGCGGCAGTAAGTAACTGTTAATAAGTGAGTCATTGTGTTTGAACCAAATCATTTAAACAGATGATTCATGATTCACAGTCCTGTTGCTCAGAGACGCAAAACAGCGCTGTGGCTGTGTTTGAAATGATTCTTGT